AAATTTTTTCACTTTTTTTTCTTAAAACTTCCATAACTTTTTGAAAAATCAACAAATCAACATAATTTTTTTTATACTAAAACCTTAGATATTTCCCTTTTATTTGATATAATTTTTTTGAAAATTTAACACTTAGCCTGCTCATGGGGGGAGATTTAAAATTGCAACTTTTTTACAAAAACTAACTTTTTCAACTTAATTTTTGAAAATGTTCCGGAAATACTGCGTCCTTTAAACATATATCAAATTAAAGCTTATTTTATGTACTATAAAATGAAAAAAAAAAATTTGTCCCGACACTTTTTTTTCTACATTTAAACGGCTGCCGTAGTTAAAAAAACACTATTTTTGTGTTAAAATTTTCGATTTTCGATTTTAAATTTTCAACTTAAAAATGCTATAACTTTTTGAAAAATGTATATATCAGCACAAATTTTTATTTTCTAAATACATTAGAAGTACATCTTTCATTTGACATACTTTTTATTAAAATTGGACAATTTCCCCATATATAGGGGGCGTTCAAAACTTGAAACATTGTAAAAAACATAGATCTTTTTCAACTGAACTTTTGAAAATGTTCCGGAAATACTGCGTCCTTTAAACATATATCAAATTAAAGCTTTTTTTATGTACTATAAAATGAAAAAAAAAAATTTGTCCCGACACCTTATCTTCTATGTGCAAATGGCTGTCGAAATTATAAAAAAAATGTAATATTTGCGATAAAAATCACCTTTTATAACGATGTTTTTTGTACTTAAAACTGCCATAACTTTTTCAAATATTAACTAATCAAAATAATATTTCTTTATATTGAAACCTTAGGTAATTTTCTTTCATTTGATATCATTTTTTTTTGAAAATCTAACACTTATTCTGCTCACAGGGGGGATTTAAAATAGCAACTTTTTTACAAAAACTAACTTTTTCAACTTAATTTTTGAAAATGTTCCGGAAATACTGCGTCCTTTAAACATATATCAAATTAAAGCTTATTTTATGTACTATAAAATAAAAAAAAAAATTTGTCCCGACACCTTATATACTATGTGCAAATTGCTGTCAAAATTTAAAAAAAAATGTAATATTTGCGATAAATATCACCTTCTATAAGGATGTTTTTTGTACTTAAAATTGCCATAACTTTTTTAAATATTAACTAATCAAAATAATATTTTTTTATATTGAAACCTTAGGTAATTTCCTTTTGTTTGATATCATTTTTTTTTTGAAAACCTAACACTTATTCTGCTCACAAGGGGGATTTAAAATAGCAACTTTTTTACAAAAACTAACTTTTTCAAATGTTCCGGAAATACTGCGTCTTTTAAACATATATCAAATTAAAGCTTATTTTATGTACTATAAAATGAAAAAAAAAATTTGTCCCGACGACCTATCTTCTATGCGCAAATGGCTACCGTATTCAAAAATATGCTATAATATATCTTATTAGGAAAATATATTGACTTTCATGAATATTATAAAATTTAATTGACATAGAATAAAGTTCATAAGACATAAGAAATTAAACTAATTAAATTTTTTTTACTTTTTTAAAGTCGAAAAATTTTTAAATTTAAGTTAACTCAAATAGCCAATTTTTTAGCTTCGATGCGAATTTTTTATATGTAAATACTAATTTTTAATAATATTAAAACTTAAAAGTGATAGAAAAAGTCTAATTGCAGATTTGAAAACATTGCGAAAAGTTGATTTAGAATGGTATATTTTTGTTACTGATAAAAGTTCCTTGTAGTTCAGTGCATTTATTTATAGTAACAGTTTTTATTGAAATTTATTGTATCAAGCCCTTTAAATTTTTATACACGTAAAAATAAAGCAAAATACAACTTCTTTATTATTTTTATAATTTCTCCGTTTAAATTACAATATTAAATTATTGAATATCAATTTCATANAATTAAATTACAATATTAAATTATTGAATATCAATTTCATACTAAATTTAATAATTATAATTAGTATTTATTCATATATTATATTTTAAAATCAAAGAACTACTAATCAGGATATAATTAAAGAAATAAGAGTTGATGTTGCTTTTGGAATAATCCACCAATTTCTCTAAATGAAACACTATCTACAGATTTGCATCGAAGCGTTTCTTATGATAGTGATTTTAATCACTGTCAGATATCATCTATACTTGTCCCATCTATGCCTCGTCCACACTGTGCCTCGACCCCACTGTGCTACCGTTTTTTTTATTTAATAATAAATCTTGGCTACACTTGGCAAACAAAGACGCCCTAACTGGATATACAAGGTATATAACAAATAAAGATGTTTTTTGGAAGTAAATACTATTCATTGGCTCATCACCTAATTGTTCTAAAAACAAAGAACAAAAAACCGTTTTAATAAATAATATTTTCCTAAGTTGCTTTTATTTTAATATAATTATATTTTACTAATTAATGTAACGCTTAATGTAACCAGAATTTTTACTGAACTTTTATAAATATTATTATTACAAATGATAGAAATCTTAAGTGTCACAACCGTTAACCTATTAGGCCAACATCCATTTATTCATAATAGCTATATTTAACTGTTTGGGCTTTTCAAGTGTTAAAATATGCAAAGTTTTTTTGACCCTTTTTGTTTGTAATAGGGACGCATGCGTGTCGGTATTTGTTGTGGTTGCGGTTGTCTGGCAGTCAACCATGAATCGGACCAATCGGTGAAAAATCTGTGTTATATCCTATACCGGCTTTGATGATGTTTCAACGAGCTTAATCGGTTGCAGTTTCATTTTGTCACCCACGTGATCCGTTCTATACGTTAATGTTTGCAATTCTATAATATCGTTGAAAATTTAATTTATATAGTTAAGTTATTTTTAATATATTTATTAATTAAAATAAATCATAGTGGTAAGTAGTTTTTGTTTATTTCTAAAATAACAAACATAATAATATAAAAAACGGTAGCACAGTGGGGTCGAGGCACAGTGTAGACAAGGCATAGATGAGACAAGTATAGATGATATTTGACAGTATACGGTAGCCATTTGCGCATAGAAGATAGGTCGTCGGGACAAATTTTTTTTTTCATTATATAGTACATAAAATAAGCTTTAATTTGATATATGTTTAAAGGACGCAGTATTTCCGGAACATTTTCAAAAATTAAGTTGAAAAAGTTAGTTTTTGTAAAAAAGTTGCTATTTTAAATCTCCCCCAATGAGCAGGTTAAGTGTTAGATTTTCAAAAAAAAGATATCAAATGAAAGGGAAATATAAAAGGTTTTAGTATAAAAAAAAATTATGTTGATTTGTTTAAGAAAAAAAGTGAAAAAAATGACAAAATTTACCGATTTTTAAATTTGTAATTTTTTTGGATATTTCCCCCATTTGTGGGGAACGAGGGAAAATTTTTAAATTTTTAAGGGTAATGTCTTCAACTAGATACAATTTGTGATCTTTTGANCAGCGGAAATTTAATATTCGGCGTTACTCTTTGTGGATTTATCAGAATAATTAATAGAGGAAAAACAATAACGTAGTTTAGTGGGTTTTTTAAGCTTATGACNAATATTTGGCGTTACTCTTTGTGGATTTATCAGAATAATTAATAGAGGAAAAACAATAACGTAGTTTAGTGGGTTTTTTAAGCTTATGACCCCCTTGTCTACATTCGAAGCCGATGAAAAAATATATTTTNACCCCCTTGTATACATTCGAAGCCGATGAAAAAATATATTTTTCAAATCGAAAGGGGAGTGACAAAACAATAATGTGAAGAAGTTCTCCACTATTGCATTGGCCAATCAAAAGTTCAATGAGCCATTTTTTATAAAGTCATTTTCGTATAGTATTTTTTGTTATGTTACTATATTAGTAAAATTATAGTGATTTATTGGAGAATAAATTTATTATTAAACATTACTTTTAGTTTAGCATTTTTTAAACAATTTAAGTTGAAATGAATAAATGTTCTAAATGTTTTTAATAATAAATCTTGGCTACATTTGGCAAACAAAGACGCTCTAACTGGATATACAAGGTATATGACAAATAAAGATGTTTTTTGGAAGTAAATACTATTCATTGGTTCTTTTAATAAATTTCAAACATTTTAGAAACAGTAATTTGATTTTAGTACAATAGAAATAAAATAGGTCAGAGTCATAGACAGGCTGGCTCACTGTGATACAGCACAGTGAGTGAGTGATCAGTGATCATAGTGCCGATGGCTGATAAGCGAATGGTCGGCAGAATACTGAGAAATTTCGTGGCTATGATTGAACAGATTAAATTATTTAATAAATAATTACTTTTATATATGATTGATTTAAAAAATATATATTTTTATTCTAATTGGATAACAAAAAGTCAGACAAATATTTTCATAATAAATTCATGGACGATTACATTATTGGAAATTACCTGTGATTACTTATGGAAGATAGGATAAGGAACGAACATATAAGAGGGAGTCTAGGTGTCAAGTGGAAGCTTAGAATAAGGGTGGACGATACCAAGTAGTTGAGATTGAGGCGAGGAAAAAGAAGAAGATCTGTGATAACTTATAGTTTAATAGATAAATTATTTAAATTTGCAGTTTACCGTCATGATAGCTTTGACTTCTTCTATTGTTATCACACTACGGGCGATGGCATATTTTAGGTTTTAGTGCTTCGTGACAGTATAAATTTGGTTTCCTATTTGTATGCACCTGTCCGCCTCTGATCAGAGTATGTCTGTTGGCAAAGTATTTTATTCATAAATATTAATCAAAATTTATAATGTATCTAATAGATAATATCTACTATTTTTCAATGAAAGTAAATTTTAAGACTTTAACTTTTAAACTATGCGTATAGAGCATAATTTTATTAAATTGCTTTTGTCAAATTTATATTTTTAACATACTATCTTAAGGTATGATTTCTAACTTATTAAAATACAGATAGAATAGAAAATTTTACTTTTTGAAGTTTCAATTTTTGGATACTTATTTTACACAAAACAATTTTTTAAATTTATTTTTACATACATTAACAATTATAAGAAATATAAGAAAAAATTCAAAAGTTTAGCTAATTTAGATTTAATTATAGTTATAACAATTTATCCGATTTTACTGTAAGCATAAGAATATAATTTATGTTAATTTAATCATATCTTTAATCATCATAATTATAGTAAATAACTACTATTAAACTAATTTAATTTATAAAGAATACTTAAACACACATGATTATAATGTTTCATGTTAAATTTATTTCTAATAGCAAGTAATATTTGTGCATTGTAACATTAAAATAATTTTATTCATACATCGAATTCACGCAATTCTTATGGTGATCAATGTACACTAATAGGTAATATTAAGGTCGTCTCAATATAAAAAAACCATAAGTATGCAAATTGAAAACTTTGGGTCTGATTTCTGTCTAGGTTAAAGTTAAAATAATTTCTACTATGATCATTGTTTTAACAAATTACAGGTACAACAGTAACAAATTAAATTCATAAGAACCTCGATCGATTTTAATATCAAGATTCAAAAATAAAACTCCACTCTTGTTATATTTAACAAAATTTGAAATGTGTTAAATCAAGGTATTAAGAGCAGAATATTTACATATTTATATCATAGTAATTTGAACTACTATAAGACTTACTGGATTATTATTATTTTTTGTTCTTTTTTTATTGCTATTGATAGTTTAGATTAAAAAAAAATACAAATTTATATTTAATTTTATGTATTTAAGTCAGTGGTACAAGTAAAAAAAAGAGTTAATGCAAATGTAGAATCTTTTTAAGGCTGGAATTATTTTTGAGCATAGTCATAATAAAAAAATTTTTTAAATATTTATCATTCCTTTAAGTAATACAATTTTCGAATTTATAATTATAATTACACCTGCGGATGTAGATTAGAATACACTTGTGGCAGTCCATTTTGGTCGACTCTTACGATCAAGTATAAATTTATTTATGTTTAAATAGCATCTTTTAAAAATAAAAGATGACACTGCGATGCAGAAGACTAGGGGAAAACACTGTATTACCATTGCCAATATGCAACCATAATACACGTCGAAAAATGATTGAAGCGACTAGGCGAAGCCTTTAGTTTATAAATAAAAATGTCCGAATGTTGGATTAAGATATGGTTAGGACTCTGGGTACGAAATGTTTTAGAAAGGACCCAAATCCTCTTACTCGTAGGTCTATTGTAATTTTTTTTTTATTTTACATTAATTATGAAATAATTAAATGTATTAAAAATGTCGTAACTCTATTTAGAATGGATCTATTATCTGTAAGTCACAAAAACCACTTTTTTTGGTTCCCATAATCATTGAATGTTTTTACAATACTCATAATATGGCTTCTATTTTTGGTATAGAATTAAAAAAAATCGTGTATTTAATTTAAATAAAACTAAACCTAGATACTAAACCCATCAAATAATAAGACACGTATCAAAATTTGTTATTATAGTTTTGATAATCAGAAAAAAGATTTTTCTTTTAAAATAATAACATCTTACAAATGAATGTTTACCTTTAAAATCTTTTTTAAATACCAATTTAGAGTAATAATTATTTTTATTGACTGTAATAATGACTAGTACCGATGATTTTTTAAATAATAGACTAATGCTAAAATTGGCATAACATCTTTGATGATTTTTAGCTAAAATATGACAGTTGATTGCATAGTTGATTGGAGGGCTTAACTTTTTTATCCCTCCGGAAACGACATTAGCAATGTCAGATTCAATAACAAAAACTGCAATGTTAATTAACACATTTTTTATTTATTACAATTATTATTTTTGAGTTAACAAACAAATTATTTATACTGCACCAACAACCTCAAATTCACTCTTTTTTTTAGAATTATAAAATTGAATTATCTGATTATTTTTGACCTCCAAAGACCAAAGAACTCAATAATAAAAATATTTATCTATGTATTATAATGATGAACAATAGAAAAATAGTTTGTTTTCAATTACTCGCAAAATAATATGTAAATTTTTATTTCTCTATAATCAAGGTTTTTGTTACGCATCACGATGACAATTCGATGTAACAATTATCTACGTTTCGTTTTAGTTAAATAAAAAAATGCTGGACACAGGTAGTGTAGAATTCTTTTGTGTTATAATGTTAAGGTTAGTAGGTATTCAAACAAATCTATCAATAATTTCTTATGATATTATTTTTTTCCAAAATCGAACAAATTAAATGATTATCTTCAAATTACAGAAAAATATTATTTGTTTTTATAACTTTTTCTGGGTCATATATATTTGCAATATTTTAAAATTAAAATTAAAATGTATTTTAATTGAATTAAATTGTTTTATTTAAATATATCATGTAAAAATTATTCGTTTAAGTTTTAGAAAATTATTTGATTAAAATGAACAAATTTAATGAATGCGGTACGTGTGTTACAAGCAGTGAACCATACGTCCGGTCTACTACATACTAGAGGACTGTTGATATACAGGAACTATCTAAATTTGGTCACAATACTCATGTTTATCTATAAGGCTGTATAAAAAATAATAATAATGATCATTAGCATAGCCAAAATGTTTATTTTTTTTTCAACTACCCATTAATTTAATCTTGGGCCCCCGTACGCGCTTTTGAAATTACCATATTATTTGCTTATATGTTCTGTAATTTTAATCTAATACAAAACAATTGTTAAATAAATATTAAGTAAAAGCATCCATTAGGTTTTTCCTCAAATTATTTACTTTTTAATCAAAATTCTTTCTATTCAGAAGTAGAATATTAAAACAGTTAATATGTATTGTTTTTTAAATAGTGTTTTTGATAATATTATTATTAAAATTATATTTAGATTGTATTAGGTTGAAATTAAGTTTACGTAAAAAAAATAATTTTATTTATTTTCAGGTCATTCCAAGTAAACCTTTGCGCCACTATGAGGCGATCAAGCTACAAAATAATCTTGATGACCTCATTATTCACATTAACAAGTAAGTTGACCTTTAAGTTGCAAAGTGTTTATTCCCATTTGCTCAATTATTTTAGTTACTTTTGGGTAATAAATTTTTCTGTGAGTCGATCGTTTTTTAAGTGGGTCAAGCTGACCATTGCGTGTAGAAATGAATGAAGAATATCAAATTCCCTCTTTGACTTTAGTCTGCCCTTATGTTTTTTACCCTCGCAGCTGACAAAATACATTATGATAGTTTTATTTAGTTCTTAAATTACTTTTTTATACATGTAACACCAATGTCATAACTCCCTTTGACTAAATGTAACGTTTTGATTATGAGTACCAACTTTATTTATTACAGTCTTTTACTACGGCAAAGTTATAATGCACAAATTATTTTATTGATTTTACTAGTTTCTTAATGTTAATGCAGTCTAAAAAATACTCCAGTTGTAGTGAAAATGTATTATCAATAAACTTTCAATAACATTTTGTTAAATTAACTGTTATATTAGAAAAATAAAAACTAAGGCTAGGGATTAACGAGTCAATAATTTATGTTAATTTTTTTAGTGTAACGGAGATATTTAAATTTTACGTTAACTTAATTTATCTTTTGTTCATTTAACAACTAAGAGACGTAATTTTTAATATTTTTCGTTAATTACCTCTTTTTAAAAATAATTCTTATTGTTAAATAAAAAGTGCTAAAATTACTACTAAAAAATGTTTAATTTGTTATTTTAAATTTCTTTAAGAGTAATATATCATTAAACACCACTAATAATAATAATAAGCCAGAAAAAAAATATTTTCAAGTTGAAAATATTACTTACGGCTTTATAGTATTTATCTCTCTTTATTTATAAGTGATTAAAGTCTTTAGGTTCATTCCTTATCACTCATAAGGGCACTGGTTTTTTTTACATTTAATCAAGCTATATTAAAAACTTCTTAACTTCGCATCGAAGCTAAAAAATGTATTAATATTCTAATATTTTCACTATTTGAAATAAATGTTTTTTATAATAATAGTTGGAATTTCAAATCGATTCATTTGTATTACATTTTTCACAACTGAATAAGGAAGAATATAGCAAAGAATAAACTTTATTAATTGTATTTTTACAATAGAAATATGTGTAATAAATCATGGGTTGCTGTCTTATTGAACAGACACATAAGTAGGTATACTTAAAATAGGGAGAATGGAAAACATGATTCTCTCTTGTCACTTTTTGAACAATAACTCTGTAGAAAAGGTAAAACAGGTTAATACGAATTGTAAAGTTCATTAAACCTTAGGAGTTTTGAAATGAAACTCGTCCTGATACCTCATTAATTAAATGGGTGACGAGATCGACAGCCGACTAGCATGTTTACCAAATGTATTTTGATACACAGTTGTAAATGCATTAAATAAAAAACAAATTAAATTAAATCAGCTCTTAGTTGATGTGCATTATTATATGATGTATTTGAATGACCATTTAAATTTTTATTCTGAATTCTATATACAATACTAAAAATTAATATGTATTAAATGTTATTTTAGTAACTGTATTAAGGATAAATTATATCCCTTACTATCTTACCATCTAGTAATATCTTTATATAATTGACAATAAAAACCCGTAATTTAAGTATAATTAAATAATTATGCTTGTACACTTTTATACACTTTTCATTTTAATGAATATTAAAGAATATAAAAACAACGTTTTGTAATAAATTTTATAAGAAAAAAAGTTGAATACAGATATTTAAAATGTTGATAAATATCTAAAAAAGTATAAATCTATAAATGTATGAAAAAATAACAAACCTATATTTTCGGGTAACTAAAATTGAAGTCGTAATAAAATTACTCAAGCAGTTTTAAAAAAGATCGGAAAATACATTGGATTTTTCGATAATTTTTGAGCTTTACCTTTTTGTGAATAAAAAAAAAAAATTAAAACAATCTAAAATAATCCCCCTTGTGTGTACATATTTATAAAATTATAATAATATCACATATTTTATAAATTACAATACATTAAAAATGATATAAATAATTTGATATACGTATGGTTTTATAAAAAAAAACAAATAAATTATTTGATTTAATAATAGATACTGCTCATATGTACACGCATAACTGTGGGAAAGATGAGTATAATCGATGTATCACTTTAGCAGATCCATTAATTAAAGATCCACATTTTATTTATCCTGGAAATTTAAAAGATATTGATAACATATGCAGGTATACATTTACTAATTTATTTAACAATACATAGATTATTTTGAATCTAATTAAATCGTTTTTATCAAATGTACAATAGGACATGGACGTTATTCGTTGATTGTACGAAAAAATACACCGAACATTGTTTTGAAGAGAGTAAAAGAAAAGCATTTAATAAAGCTGTTGAAAATTCAATAGAATTAGTTCATCAAATGTGTACTTCTCCACAGTATCAAACAGGTTTGTTGATCTTCTTTTTCTTTTTTTTACAATTAAAAAAACTACAACTATAGTTACATGCTCTTAAAATAAAAAAATTATGACGCAATTTATTTTTGTGATAAATTATTTAATTTAATATTCATTTCAAAAATATTTCTTAACAAAATACAGTAATACTAAATTTTAATAAAATGTAATTGTATAATAATTTATAATAATTATAAATTAAAAATGATTTTTACTTTTATCTCAGGTCTTAAAAGGTATTTAGTACTCCCAATTTAAAAAATTTCCAGTTTTAAATAATGACTGATTAAAGTACTAACGTTAAGAAAGAAAATATATTGTTAAATTAGTACTTTTTAGATGATTATTTTTAAATATTACTTTTTACTCAGTTTTGAAATCAGATGGCTAAAAATTTATTTTACGATATACTTTGCGATAAAATAAAGTTTTTCAAAATTAAATCACTTTTGCTATTATAAATGATCCATATTTATTCTAAGGTCATTTATTGTCTTTTATGATTTGACACATAAGAAAAAGTTTGTTCTATTATTTTATACAATAAAAATAACATTGTGTTTATTAAAAATAATTTTTAGAATATTTGAAGCATGCTACATGTTTAAGAGCAACTCTTTTTGAAGATTCTCGATGTGGTAAACATTATAGATCTTTAGCAAGTTATGTGTCTAACGATACAAATGAACCAGGAATTTGTTGGTAAGTTTAAAATTTTCTAACAATAAAAAAAATATTATTAATTTCAAAGACAAATAAATTAACTTCATAAAATCGTTAAAAATTAAAATAAATAAAAGGTAAACATTTTTTGATTATAAAATAGTAAAATAATTTTTTGTTCGATCAGTTTATATTGATTTTACTTCTTTACAAATAAACTTAGACAAAATAAATTAACAATAGGTATATCTACAACATAAAAAGCCATTTTGATTTCTCAATAAATACCTTTTTGATTTAATCTGTATTATTTTTTTTAGCACTCACCATAGATTCAGAGAATGTGTTCTTGATCAAACGCGAAGAACGTGCAATCAAGACGATGATTCATTTACACAACAGTTACTGGACAAAGCTTTTGGATTTTTCCGAAATCAATGTATTGACTTTGCGTAAGTATTTATCCATGAAGTATAGACATAATTAAGAATGGTTATACAAAATCACCAGTACGCAGTGACGTCGGCAGGGGACAAGAGGGGTCTGGATCCTTTCCATTTACAGAAATATTCTTCTCTGAAATAAAATAATAAGTAAAAAAAATTTCTAAAATATACAATATTTTAGATTTTTTTATTATGCCCGATTATAAAATGCTACCTATGCCACTGTTAATACTCATATGTCAGTGCAGAAAAATGTTATCATTCCAAATATATGACATAGGTTCAATAATGCGCATGTTGTTAATTTCTATAGAACGCTGTATTTAAGAGGGTACTCAAAGTGAAATATATATAATTTTTAGTAAGTAAGGAAACGGGTTTCTATTGTGTCTCATTGTTTGTAACATTTGATCTGTTTCTTTACGTTTTGAACACCATGTATATTTTTTTTTACATTAACATTAAACTTCAAAATTTTTTTGTATTATGAGTAAAATCGCTTAATTTTTTTGGGGCTGTATATGAATAATGATTACATTTTTATCTTATCAATGATTTTTTTCTATTTTTAGTTTAATGTGACCAATGCTTAATTGGTATTTGGAATCAATTAAACATATATTAGTTCTCGATTAATTATTTATTTTTTGGTTTTAATAATAATACAGAGTGTTTCACTGTGATTTACTAATTTGACTATGTAAACTAACGTTAAAATTAGTAAAGCATGATGAGACATTCTACATCGTTTTTTCCGTGCGATTATTTCACCTATATTTAATACAATATAGGCCTACCCAAGAAGAATGTCCGGGCTATGAATATTATAGTACAATGGCCACAAATAAATGGCAACAAGAAAAAGGGAAAGTACCTCCAAGTTCTAGTTCTTGGCCCTGTAAGTTTTAGTAATTTATTTCTACAAATATATTTGCAATAAATTATATAACTTTTTTTTATTAAATATTTATCATTTATAGCAACTAAAAGACAGGATGATGTAGCTTGGTCGACATCGATGGTAAGCGAAAGAACTAGTCGAGTTTATACAGAAAGAACCCAAAGTAGTGGATCCTTTAGTACACCAACTTGGAAGGTACCAGAATCCACGAAAAAAACTGACACCAGTTACATGACAAATGTTATTGATGAACCAAACCAACAAGGTCTTGGTTCAGAAAATGCTGGACTCCGTCTTACAGCACCAAAACTGGGGCTTTTATTTATATGCTTTTTAATGATACTACTATTTAATAGGAAATAATATACTGCCTATAATATTTAATTATGTTACCTAAGCCAGTATTTCTATCATATAATTATGGTTTTTATATTGTATGCTAAAATACTAATTCAATAACTTTTATAATTTTAACAGAAAAAAAATTTGTTTCATGAAACAGTTATATATGTATAATAACATTATTTTTTATGATACTTAATTTTTTGTTATCTTTATGGTAAGATAGTAAATTTCACTGTCATAATAAAATTTAATTTTATTTGATGTTAAATATTTAAAAATTATATGTTTGCGTAGCTTGTCTTAAAATTTAATCTCAAAGATGTAAATTAGTCTATTAAATTTGGTTCATTTATATATCCAATTAAAAGTTTTATAGGATTACTCAGAAATATAATTTTAACAATGGATGAATTGTTAGATTTTGATTAAGTACATATTTAAAATTTACTAGCAAATTTTAAATGATTTTGATGATGACAAATGACTACTTCGTGATAAATAAATGTATGATTTCCTTTTTTTTTTATTATTAATTTTCACTTTTTTATATTTACTGTTCATGTAAATTAATTACCAAACAAGGCGTACCTTTTAGTATAACTATAAAACTGTGATGTATTATGGTTTCCATAATAGTTTAGTTTGTCTTTATGATAAATTTTAATCATAGGTGTAAATTGAAAAATTGCGAAGACAAAAGAAGCTTACAATCATTTAAAACTTTTAAATTCTCTAAAAAAAAAACGTATATTTTTTTATTTATCAAAATTTATAATTTTATTTTTATTATTTAGTCGCTAAATTTTTTATCATATTTACACTTATGATTATAATTTTTCATTATTTTAATATTAGTTTTAATTTGTTTTTAGTAATAGTTATGTGCAATTGATAATTTGTATAAATTTTATATAATTATTTTATGTTTTCTACACTTATTCAAAAAAAAAAAAATTAAATAGTTTTCATTGAAGATTTTTTTTATTAAAAATACATGCACTTGATCTATATTAAATTTATATTAAATCTATATTAAAACTATTATAATAAAGTTTTATTAAAAACTTTGTATTTTACTTATATTAAAAAAAAGTTTTTGTTTTGAAACTTAACATCATTTTGAAAATGTTGGCGTTATTTGCATTGTTCTATCTTTAAAATTACAATTGTTATTAAAAAAAAAAAAATTAGTTAAATAACCACATAAAGAAATTATTATCATTCTTTTGGTTTCTTAATTTATAATGAGCAATACTAATGAAATTACAGAAGCTTAGCACCCAAGTTCAAACCCTCGAAAATTATATTTATTGTTATATAAATATGTTATTTAGGGTAGGGGACAATTACATAGCAAGATTATCATAATTGTCATTACTTAAAATATGATAACTAGTGATAATGTAATATTTTTTTTTTATTATAACGTTTTGTTTTCTTGTTAACGGCCATTTTTAAATGTCGTGATTTTCAACTTTTATACAAGGATTTCCATGGCATTTTTCTTCTGCATATGTATAATAAGTTTTTAATTTATTTCATAAAAAAAAATTTCATTTAATAAACATGTAACCTTGACATAGTATAATCAACATATTAATGATTTCTTTTTATGATATTCCAAAATATTAAAACAAAATACTTTTGAGTTAAGTCAAAAATCAGGTTCGGTCATTACTCTAGTTATCCTTCTTCTTCTTTAGTAATCAACCCTAAAGTTGGTTTTACAGCATTCTTCCATACTCCCTCCACTCTTTTCTGTTACTGGCCATTTACTTCAGTTCCTTGTAGGTTCTCAGTCCGGCATCTTTAATAACTTTTTTGATTAGCGTTGATTAGTTGTTGGCTAGAGAATGATAGACGGGTGGATATAACGGCTGGCTTGCATTAGAAACTCCTCTAATAAGAAATTCACAACAAAAATCTGAGACCCTGTGCGCCGATCCATTAGTTATTCTTATACGAATAACTAATGGATTAAAATAATTAATAAATTAATTTAGTAATGTAATAAAAGAGTTGTATAAAATCATTATATTAAATTTTTATTTGTATCATACTAAATTGAAATTTCCTATACATTTCAATGGAGTTTTTTGTGGCTAATATTTACCCCTACATAGTGTTAATGCCAGTCAAATTAAAGTTTTTTATGAATTGATATTAGAAAATAAAAATTGATTCGATGAGCTTGAAACTCTGACATAACGTACCTACATGTTTTATTTCAAAATTATTTTAAAATTTTATGACAATATATTGGAGTTACACCAAATACCGTATAAATATTACTGTTAGACAAAAGAAGAGGTATGGACTAAGAATTGTATTTTAGGTTGTCTAACCTAATATGCTTGGCTGATATCCCGGTTCTATCGACAGTGTCGAATAGCTGTTGTTATACAAAGTTTTGAAGAGTAAAGCCAAGTTATAATATGTAGACGAAGTATCGGACATAAATACCTTGTGTACAAGAATGAAGTGAAGACAAAGTGCAAGACATAAGTACTTGAGTTAATTTTGAGAAAAAATAATGTATGTGAAGGAGTCAAGAAGAACAAACTAACTCTTGACGTAAGATTAAAAATAGGACAGCAACAACCGATTATTGAGATTGGTGTTTGGCAATAAATCTTGAAGTTGCATACTGGAGTCGACTGACCACAATGACTAGGTCCAAATGGTTTAAATGAATGTGTAGTTGCATATTTTTATTTAATTATCAATTCATCAATCGCCAGCAGCGGAAGTGTTGACTTAATTTATTGTTACATTTTCTAACGTATTAAAAATATTGATAATGTGATATTATGACAGTCGTCTACCCTACTATCCGCATTTTGAATCCCCAGTTTAGTAGTTACAGCACTACCTGAAGTCCTGTTTTTGTGTCTATAAATGAAAAAAATAATAGAAATAAGTTGCTGGCCTTTTAATCTTAATATCAACTAATTACATTGTATCATAAAATACATTTGTTAAACAAAATCAAGAATTAGAAAATTAAATTCCTCTATGAATTAATTTTTTTAAATTTATATTTATACTATAAATAAATTTATAGTAATTTTTCAAACGTTAAAATTTGTACATGAATTAAACAAATAATATAATATGATATACCAGGTATATTATATACATTTTAGTTATCTAAAAACATGATTCTGTGCTTGTGTAAGCATATCAGGTTATAAATAACCTATACAAATAAAAAAATAATTTTAGTTCATTAGAGATGGTCTTAAAATTCATTATTGAAGATATATAGATTACAATCCTCCTAAGAAGATTCACGAGTACAATTTTTTATATGAAAAACAGCGGCGTAAATAAAGTCCCGTAACCCCTCACCTCATCTCTGAACGATTTTTTTGCTTTTGGATATTTTTCATTACATGAGATTAATTAATTATTTGTAAAATAATTTTTTATCAATCACACGAAAAACATATAATTAACAATTTTTTTCTTCGACTTTTTATCTGATTTTCGTTTGCAAGTATTTAAACTACTATGGTTAGAGTAATAAATAGTAGATATTAAATCCTGATCATAGTATATTTTTATAGTTAATTGATAACATTAATTTCGTTAGAACAAACATTGAATTTAATATGCAGAGATGTACTGATCAATTGTGCAACACAGTAGGGATCGGTGATCATAGTGCCTACGGCCGAAAAGCTAGTTTCGCGACCACGATTTGAAAGAAAACATATTTTATTCTTCATATTGTACAACAAATAATTACATAACATAATTATAGTGAATCCATAGACGGATAATTGGTAAAATGTTTAGAAGGTCTAAATAACTTAAGTCAATTATCCAGGGAGGATTACATTATAACTAAAAAAAATTTAAGGATTTATAATATTGAGACTCCCGTAATGCTATTAATAATTTTCTTTAAAATTATGTTAAATACGCGCTTGGATTTAATGATAATAAAAATTTCAAAATAATTGAGGATAATATTATGAATTTAGTCAATATGTATTATTTATATTTGAAATCAATTAAATAAAAATATTAAGATATTCATTATTCTATTATATTCATTATTATCCAAACCCAACCACTAAGCTATTAACATTTAAGTGATCGGAATTTCAATGAATGCTTAGATAGGGTTTCATAAAACATAGTTCTTTAGTCTAACAACAAACAAAAAAATAATTTGTACATTTACGATAACTGATATTAAATTTTAGATAACTATTAAGACATATTAGAAAAATATCAATATCAAAATTTTATAACCTAATTTGGATACTTGACAAATTTAACATTATAAATGTCCGATGAAAAATTATTATCTATTAATCATATTGTTATCGACAACAATATTATAAGGTGTTAGTACAATTATATTTTTCATCGAAATAGAACCTTGTGAAGCATAATTTATAAGTCAACAATACATTTTTAATTACAAACGTTCTACAGGGCATATTATAGGTCATGTTTTTTAATTTATGATTTGAGGTTGTTTTTCAAGACGTACACTGAGATTGACAATTTATAATTCTTAACATCTTTTTTGTACAACAATGCCGTAACAATTTATAGTACACGGGTCTATGCCTAAATTCATTGTGGTATAAACTCGCATTGTAAAAAACTGATATTTAAAGCGCGTGTACATAATTTACATGAAAAAGGTTTTAAAACTCTCCCCTCGTCACGACTTCAAATGACCAGGGCTGGGTTTTTTCATTTTATTTTAAAAGCGTCCTTCGTGTAACTAGAAGAGGAGGTGATGAGCGTACACAAAAATAGAAGCTATCAGGTTAAAGCCCCGGGGTCGGATTTTATTTTCGTGTGGTGAATGTTGAGCGACGGCGCACGCCGTTCATCGTTGCAATGTTTTTTTTCGTCTCAGTCACCTCCCCACTTACAAAGCCTTATCCCCGCCGCCGTACACAAGCGGCCTTCTCGTTACAGCCCACTACATGCTTTTAAGGGGGGGTGGCAGTCGGGCGCCCGATGTCAATTATTCTCGGGGAATTTTTTGGGTAGGGGCCGGTGGCAGCGAACCGTTTCAGGTGCCCGCGCCTTCAAGTCGACTATCGAACCCTCCCCACCAATTTTCAGTGCGCTGTGCTCTTCGGTCGTTGCCTGTGGGCTATCGGAGTACATCACTTTTCTCTTAATGTTTTTTTCATAGTTTGAAATTTATACATGTTTTCCCTTTTTACATAACAGTTTACTGCTGTTGTCGTAAAACTCTTTAGTATTTGCTAACTGACTTCTATGTAACCCGTTTCCGTGTCAAAAATATATTTTGGGCATCGTTTGTAAAAAAACCTTTGTCGTTGGAATTAATTACATTCATTCTCGCAAGTTTTATTTATTCACAAATCCACCTAACAAACCAGCGTTATGGCCGGCGACAGTGATGAAGTGATTATTGTGTGCAGACTGTGTCGTGGTACGCCGGCTGAATCAGATTGGCATCAAATTTTACAAGTTACTATAGATGATGACAATGAAGACTGTAATAATGATGATCAAAGAGATGACGAGACACGCCCCAGTATTCGTGACACCATCCTCAAATACTTAGGAATCGAGGTTAGATATCACAGAATAATTTATTCTAGTATTGAATGTTTGATAACAAATTAATTGTTTTGGGTCACATTCCAACTTCATTGTGCCGTATAAAACAATAAATATTTTGTACTATTAAGTTAATTATCTAGAATTATGAATACTTATAATACTTAAAATTATGAATACTGTTAATGTTTTAGAAAATGTTTTGCGTTAGTCTCATTACCACTCCCTCTATGTTCTTTATCAATGATGATTGCGTAACTGATAACGAATAAATACTGAAATGACAACGAGAGTTCTCGGCTAAATTCTTATGTATAATATGCAATAAAAAATCTGGCTCAAAATTGTCTATTATACTTAAATTACCAAACTTAGCATTTATCATTCTGTTGTAGTTTATTGTAGTGCGTTATCAATTAATGTCTACAATTCCTTAATAATGAATATTCACTGTTATGAATGTTTTTTAATTTTATTTCATATGTGTTCCATTATATTTAATAGTCACTTAATGTTATAATATTAAAATGACTATTGCTCACCCTTTTAATAATAGTCTATTAGAAAAAATTACTTCTAAGTTTACCAATTTCCGAGTTTTTCTTTCTAAAATGATCCATTAAAATCATAGTTAACAATTTTCGCCATCTTGTTTATTTTAAAAAGTAATTAATTCACTTCTTAATGATCTTACTTTAAAATTTATAAAACGTGTAAATGAAAATATAAATTATAAAAATAGATTTAAATTTTATAACTTAATTATTGTTAAAAATTAAGTTTTATTTTTATTTCCTCATAATCATTAGAAAATAACTAATAATTGTGCAATGTTTCCACAAATTATTAATGAAAACATTTAATAAATAAATAATAATTATTTGTTAGGAAAACCAAAAAATTTTCTACTTCAAACAATTTATTATGCTTTTCAGATATTGTTACAACTTGTTACTATTAGCAAAGTAATCATTTTTTTCTGTTTATAATTTTATTTTAAAAAATTAGTTGTTATTAATAATTTAATGTATCCCAAAATTATATAGAACCTATATTTTGTATTAAATTATCTTATATATATTCTAGAATTAGTGAGGCTTTGATCAATACTTTTTTTAATCATAATTAGTTATATATGTATTATTCTTAAAGGTGTTGGAGAATGACAATCAATCAAAAATTATTTGTTCAAAATGCCTGACTATATTAAATAGATGGGATGTGTTTCACAAGATTTGTTTAAAGAATAATGTAGAAATGAATCAGCTAAATCAAGTGAACAATAAAGTAAATTATTTTGCAAAAAACTTTATATTTCAGTTAAAATCTCTAAAAAAATGTTGGTTCCTTATTTTTTTGATTTTTCTTCTGTGCCAGCAATAGTGTTCTATTGAGAAACTACAACCTTATTCTCTATAACAAATTAAACAAACACCTTTGTAATTTAATACAGTTATTATAATTGTATCCAGTTGCATTTTTAACCTTTAATTGTGGTTTACTATTGTCTTAATATTAAAATACTACCTTCACAAAATTTCATCAACTTATTTTTTTTTTTAATTTACACTATTATGCTTTAATTGTAGCATTTGATAGAGGCATCCGTATAGGGGCAAAAAACTTTATATTAATGCTACAGAGTAATTTATTTTAGTAATTAAAATATTTCAAACGATTCTCCTGAAAAATAGTAAAAATTAACATGTACCACTGATTGACTTTGGCTCTAACTTCCACAATTAACCTCAAATGTGTATTCCCTTTAGACATAGACAATTATATAGTAATCCTTTACTATTTCATACAAATTTAAATCTGATTAATAGAAGTATCTAATTTATTACCTAATTTTCTTCACTAATTGCTTTTAAAGTGTGTTTTAGAATCATGATACTCTATGATTCTTTATAAATATTATATATTTTTTTATGAAATGTTTTAGAATGAAGAAGGAAATGAATCTACAAACAATTTAGTAGTTGAAATTAATGATGAAGAAGATGATACCAAAATGTTTCCATGTAAGGTTTTATTTTATTATAATTCAAATAATTGATTGTTTATAATATTTATTAATTAGGTAAAGAAAACTTAGAAAGTAATAAAAGTACAAAAAAAATTTATCTTGGTGAGCCATCACCTGAAGACTATGTATTAATGAAAGAAGAAACTTTTAATTTGGACCCTTTGTGAGATATTTATTCTTATTTTTATTTGATTTTTCAATTAAATAGATAATTAAATATAATTCCAGAAAAAATGGTTCCTCTGGTGTTTTGGGTGACTATCTTGTAGAGTATAATAATTGCAAGAAGCTACCAAGTGAAATTAATAATGCTGATAAAGATATTGTTGATCATTTACGAATTAGAAGAGAAGTGCTACCACCTATGTGGGATGTATTTGAAAAAACCATTGATAAAATGATAGCTGGTAATAAAATATCTGTATTTTATATTAATAATGATTTGTATTTTAAAAATAATTTAATATTAATGTAAAAACAGTAGTTTTTGCTTAATACTAGCTAAAAGGAAACTTTTGGATAGAATTATATTAAATAAATATAAGAAAAAAATAATTTTTCAAATTTTCTAAAAATTTATGTTACAGGTGAAGCATGTCTACCATTAGTTACCCATAGACGATATATAATCAATAAAGGTGCATTTCCTTGTTCTTTATGCGGGGAATGTTATGAATTTGATCAGGGTATATGTCGTGATGAAGAAGAACCTCAACCTCCACCTGAAATAGAATCTCAACAACGTTTGTTTGTTTGTCCAACATGTGGTAAATCATTTCCTCGACGTAGTTCATGGAAAAGACATCAAATGACACATGAAGATGTTAAACCTTTTGTTTGCCGTATCTGTACTAGTGGCTTCAATCGTAAAGAACATTTAATGAGGCACATGCTGTCCCATAGTACTATTCGACCATTTCCATGTGAAAAATGTGGTAAACGTTTTATACGAAAAGAACATTTAGCCAGACATCTTATGTGCATACCAAGTTGTCATAGTTCTTCTGATATGCCAAGACCCTTTTGTTGTGATATTTGTAAACAGCGATTTGTTCGAAAAGAACATTTATTTAGGCATAGAAAACGAGCTCATGAACATGCTTTAACATTAGAAAATCCTTTAGAAGAAAAACCATTTTCTTGTTGGCTTTGTGGTAAATGTTTTACCCGTCATGAGCATTTACGAAAACATCTAGATATGCACAACGGTATAACTCCATCATCTTCAACAGCTTTACTTCCTGAAGTAACCCTTTCTGAAATTAAAGTTGAAGAACCAGATATTAAAGTAGAGAATCCATCAGATTCTGAAGAAGGATCTGATGTTCTACCACCAGTTAGTGTTTTAGAACTTAGTGAACAACATACTGAACAAGTTAAACCTAAACCTAGTACTTTATGTACAATATGTAAGAAAACATTTTCTCGTCGAAGTCATCTTCTTCGGCATTTAAAGCGTATTCATAAAGTAGAACCAGTTTTAGCAAGACGAAGAGTTAATAGATCTGGTGATGAAAATGGTAACTCTATTGAAGAAACTAAATTTGAATGTAGCACTTGTGGAAAGAATTTTTCAAGACAAGCACATCTGGAAAGACATGAAAAAAATTTACATGGTGTAGAACGTACAATGCCTGCTCCATATGAATGTGTCACTTGCGGACAAGCATTTTTTGACAGTAATTTACTCAATCAGCATATGGAAACCCATGGGAACACTGTGACTGATAATTTTGTTTGGATGTGATATGGTTTTAATTATTTAAGTTTTAATTTGTCATAAGGATTGTTAAATACCTGATTACAATATGATGATTTTCTCTTTGTAATTATTATTCAGCATTATTTTAATTTTTGTGTAAATAATAACACATAGTTAAAAAATATGTGAAGAAAATTTTTGATATTTTACTTAAAAAAGACATAAAAGTGTATAGTTGTTTTCAATATGTACATATTATTAGTTTTGTTAATTTTGATAAAACACTAAACAATTTTATTTTATTCACTTATCTACTGAAAAGATAGATATAGTCTTGTTGTTTATTTTTGAAATTTTTATTACAGGGTGAACTAAGTTATAGTATTACCCATAATCATTTATGATAGAATACCATATTATTAATTCATTTATTGATTTAATTATTGTTACTTTGTTTTATTATTTTATGTATCAATTTAATTATTTTGTGTTAAATTAATGTATTGTACACATCTAAACCTTGTTATTTTTATTGAGAATTGGCTGGGTTCATACAAATTGTGTATTCCTTTAAAGCCACTACTTAGTAAATAGCAAATAAAACTACATTTAATACATATTTGTTGTATTTGGCATAATTTTTATACTTGTTTGTATAAATCAAATATAAAAATTCTGCCAAATTCTGAAAAAAAAATTACTACTTGTATCAAAAAATTATACAACAAAAGATTAATATCCTCTTTTTAGCTTTACCTAGTTACTTAAAAATGATTTTGGTGGATGCATACATTTTTTGTTAGATTTAAAAACAAATTTATGGAGATGGTGGGTACCAGGTAGTTTTTTTTTATAAAATACATATTTGCTCAACTATTACTCTATACTATATATATTTAAAAATAATGATACTAAAATATTTAATTTTTATTTTACAATATGTTTTTATTCTTTTAATATAATAGCACATTTAATACTTTAGTTGAGTTGTAATTATAATGTAATTTTTTTATTACCACACTTAGTTCTTTTTTTCATGAATAAGCTTTTACTCTTAAGTTTTTAGTGGGTTTTAATTTACCATTTGTTTAAAACCAATCTTGTTAAAACTTGTTATTTTGTTAAAAAAAAAATTATAATGACTGAAAAATTTGAATAATTATTTTATATATATTACTTTAAAATAACTTCAAATAATATTATTTTAAGTAGTATGAACTGTTAGATATTTTTATCAAATTTTTTTTTTTTTATCTATATGACTAATACACATTCAAGTTGTAATGTATACGTATATAACTACAAAATTAAGTTTTATTCATATTTAATTACTCTGATATTCTATCATTTTTTTTTT